AGTAAAGCGTTAGGGTTTCGCGTTGCTGTGATATAGGGGTGGAGAGAGCAGTTTTGGCTCAAATGTCGAGCTGCATTTTGTAAACACTTCTTTTCACGTATGATGAAGTTATTGTTATAATAGCCGCTCGAAAGTTGTCACAAGAATGCTGACTGATCAAAAGTCTTGACTCCAAACGGGGCGAGAACTAGTATCTCGCGCTTTCTTGGCCGAAATAGCGCCACTGGTTCAGAAGACGTGAGTTGCCGATTCGAGTCCTGCCTGGGTCAAAGACTTTTGCCAAAAGTGGGGTCTTTTGATGAATTCCTTTGTCAGTTGGCTTCAGTAGTTTAACGCTTTGTGTTGTCTGGTAGCCTCACGTCGCGAAGTATGAACGCCGTTTCATAAGGCAGCGTTCAGACTTGTAGCGCTACGTAGCGCTACAGTTGTACCGAACTCCAGCTTCCTTTTATGTTTTTTCTTTCTGAATTCAACCCTTTTCTCTTTGTTTCTCATATTTATCTGATAGTGAGCTCCTGTTTTCTACTTTATCACATTTTAATGTAGTTTTTGATACAGAAGACTGTGATAATTGGTTTTATTTATCGTTTTTGACTTTAATTATTTGGTTTCAGAGTTGCTATTGATGTTTGATTTCTTTGCTTGATGTCTTGCAGTGGTGCCTCGTGTTGATCCCGATTGCGAAATTGTTTTCATTCTACATTAAAATGTGATAAAGTAGAAAACAGGAGCTCAGCATCAGATAAATATGAGAAACAAAGAGAAAGGGGGTTGAATTTAGAAAGAAAAAACATAAAAGGAAGCTGGAGTTTGGTACAATTGTAGCGCGACGTAGCGCTACAAGTCTGTACGCTGACCAGCGCAGTGCGCGTTACTTTGACGAATGTGGATAACCGAAGTTGTACTCGAAGTTGAACTACCGCGAACTTGAACACCCTCTTATCCAGCACATCTCATGAAAACGAAACGACAACAATGCTAGGCATACCTGCACGACAACATCGCTCCGTTCCACAACCCTCCAAAGTTCTCTCCACATATCAGGATTCCTTTCAAATGGTGTGAGCGCCAGACCGTCATTCTGAAGACAACAGTTCAGCACAGTAAGGACAAGGAAAAGTATTTCAAACGAAAATATGGTTAGTACAGCTGAGAGCATACCTCTTGCAGCTCAGCCAGATCTGACCTCCATTTCAGAAAACTCTCGTTTTCTAGTCTTGTCAGTTCCTCAGCCGTGTTGTACAAATCTCGTGCAGGTCTTCTGGGAATTTTCAGCCTGTGTTCAAGCTGTCGCTGAAGCTCAAGGTTGTTCTCATAGTCAATGCGAGAAGGCACTACCACTGGTGTTTCTCTGCAAAAATAAAAACTCTGCATACAACACAAAGCAAACGTAAAATATTGGTTGAAAAAAGAGCGCACATTACAACAATGTGCAAATCAGCAGCAAAAGTGAATTTTCATTAGAAGCAGTTCAACCTTGTCATCTGCGGCCGCGCAAAAACTAAACAATAAAAAGAATGACTACTTTAAATACTCACTAACTTCTCGATAACGCGAAACTGTTCTCGCTCAGCTGTAAATTCTGTGCCGGCCAACTGAGCTTTTGCTAGAAATTCTTCCAAACTTGTTTCTTCAGTGATGGAATCAATATATTTATGAGTCTCCTGAAAAAATTTCCATGTGCTGGCTGTTAAAGAAAAGTAAAAGCCTAAGAGAACCATAAACATACAACATCCATGAAAGCAGGGTTCTCTATCTGCTCTGCATCATATTTTGAACGTTGATGTGCCTGTCGAACTTTGATCCGCTCATTCATGAGCGAATTACCGAGGGACTTGTTAGCCCCCGTCGGTTTTTTGTTTGACGGCCGACGCTTCGTCATTCCCCAGCTTCACAACAAATAGAAGCTGAAAATCATTTGAATGGAACGCAGTATCTTGCCGTATAAGTGCGGCTAACATGATGAAATGAGGCACAAATCGAATTCAGAATTCGGAACGTCTAGAACAGCTTTAAAACTTACAAAAAATACAAAAATAGTTAATATTAGGAAGCGATATCAAATGCGTTCACGAAAACGAGCCTGGCTACGATAGAACCCGGATCTTTGCGGGACCGCCCATAGTTCTCGTTTTGCTGTCCTTTAAACTTCCGGCTTTTCCTTTGAGTAGTTTTGTGCGGGATTTACGTTTTCATTGTGTTTTGAGTTTGTTCTCCTTTAATTTTACTGTTGAGTATGAGGTACATGTCTAATTCAACCTATTTCCGTAGTAAGGAAGCAGACCCGAGCTGATACGTGAGCTTCGTTTGAATTTTATGTCACTCTCACCTGTAATTTTGTGGTTTTCATCTTGTTTCTTACCAGTGTTCTTTTTCTCGATCTAAAGGCAAGTTAGTTCAGGCTCATTTATGGCTTGCGCTGAGTTTCCTGTCCCCCCAACACCTAGGACGTAGACCATGTTTGTTAAAATTACAAAATAGATTCAAAGTCATTTGACGTTTGACATTCATAACCTCTTTCAAAATGTCTGCTGTTCTCCTTTTCGCCACTTTAGCGTTAGTACGGACAGAGTTATCTGGTGCTCAAAATAGACTTACGAAAACTTCCCAGCCATTTTTCGTTTTCGAACTCTGAACATCTAGTAGTTCCTCTTGCTGGGGGCATTAAATCGCGTTTTCTTGTTCTTTGGCAAGTTTATCTGATTCACTTGCATCTCAGGAATACATGGACTCCTCAGTCCATTGGGCGCCTTTCGGGACTTTTAGAGCGCGTTCATACTTCGCGATCCAAGCTATCCAATCCTGGAGCATGAGCGCGCTCTTAGGTTCGCTATGGCAAGGGTGAGGCAACTCCGGGACAGATGAAGGCTTGCAGTCGCCTCTTCGCGACTTGTAGCAGTAAATGCTATCCAGCACTGAAAGAAACCTAGGAAATGTTGTAAGAATGGAATTTAAAGTCTAGAAGATCCTGCCGGCCACTGTAGTCGAACGAGATATTGCAGTGCCTGAGTTTAGTCAATTAGCTTCCATCTTTCTCTTGATCTTTACCACAGCTTGTTAACCTTGATCTATAATAGGGCGGCGCCTTTGGGTCCCTTACTAGAACCAATGCTTAATCTTGTGGCCCATATTTTTTCCTGTAAGGCTATACTTCGGCGACACTGGTCGTTTGCGCTCCGAACCTTGATTAGGGAAAGAGACACAGAGTAGCGGCTGAGTGACTCCCTCTTCCCCAAGCCTTGGCGTCGAAGCACTATCCTATCTTGCATT